AGAGCCATTAGAAAGTGACATAATGAGGCAAAATAGGTGGGGGAAAGCAATGGGGGAGTTTAGAGAGAGGCTAGAACAAAAATATTGGCATACATTAGCATTTGGCAATCAAGTTTGGATTATAAGATATTGGTTAGATATAAAATTTTTTATTGTTAAAACTAGTCTTACCAATTCTAAGTGCAAAGGAAAATTATGGATGTATTAGTGTTTAGTGCAAAAATTGTGTTCCTTAATTTAGATTTGATTCCTTTAGTGCTATTAAGATGACTATTATATCCTAAGGAATGATTTTTTTTATTAAATGTTCACTTATTTTGCTATATTTTTTCCCTTATTTCACCTCTCTAATATGTTGATGCATATACTTGTTATGTTTATGTATTTCAAATTTCTACTTTTTAATTTTATTTTTGAATTGATTGAAGTTTATTAGGATGAAAACTATTGGGGAAAAATGTCTATGTTTGCCTAGGATAAAGTTCAAGCATTTTTGTAGTAAAGTTGACTATGAACTTTCAATATTAAAGCTTGGCCTTGCATTTTTTGCAAGTTTGAAGTAAAATTATCAAGAATTGCTTCATCATAGTCCACTAAAATTCAGTTTGTTTTGTACTACCTATCTTGATTACCTACATTAGATAAAGAAATTGATTTATATTATTTAATAAAAATGACAACAATCTTCAGTTAGACATCATGCAAACAATCATCTGAGATGTTCTTGACAATAATCTTCTTTCACAATTCAAAATGCATATTAACAATTGTTATTTATGAAAGATCAAATATCTTTTTACATCACTTGTTATCAACAAACATTATATCTTAGCAATAAACTTTTCTTTATTATAGTGTATCTCAGAAATTACTCTTATCTCTTGGGTTGAAAACACACTTGTGGATAAGCAAATTAGGACTTAAATGGTTTTAATTGAGGAAGTTATAAAATATTGACAATCATAACTATTAGTTGTATCTTCACATATTTGATAAAAATTTATCATGAAAAGCATCGCAAACTAATTATCATAAAAATTATCGCAAGCTAATTATTCAAGGAGTGTACAATTTTGTTCATCATGTAGGACACTATGGCTTTTAGCACTTAATAATGTTATGCAACCTCATATCTATAATAGTATTTGTACTTGTTGTTTGGCATTTCTTTGAAGAATGAATACCTTACAAAGAATATTTCTTAAAGTGCTTTTTCATATCAAATTACAAGGATTATGCTCGACGAGTGTCCTTTAGAGTGCTATTCATAAAATGAAGAGTAACCCATTTTGTCATGTAACTTTCTTTCTCCATTAACTTTTTAATGAGCAAGTAATTGAACCCCTCAAGCAAATGTCCCTATTCTATTTTTGTAGCCTTGTAGTTTCTTTCCATGAAAAATTATTTTGTAGTTCAGATTGTACTAAACTAAAAAATAGTTACTTTTGAATTGGTGGAGGCCCCTTGATATTGGGCTCTTCTTCTCCATCAAAAGGCTTTGATTTTGCAATTTAGTACACTTGAAATTGCAAAATAGGAAACCATTATTCTAATTGTAAATTTCATGATTTAATTTTATGTAATGTAAGGTGACAATTGTATCATGGTTGAAGAATGTATCTACCCATATGCGAAAATTATGCCATAGTTATTAGTATTATTTACATTGATGCTCTATTAAGGCTAGTATTTTTTTGTTAAAGGATGCATATAATATTATCAATTCTAGTAGCATGAAAACAAACAATTATTAAATGATGTGAAAGGTTTAAGAAAAAGTTATACAAAAACATTATGGTTAAATACCCTTTTTGGTCCCTCTACTATAGGAAAAAATCTCTTTTTAGTCCCTATACCGAAAAAATTCCCTTTTTGATCCTTACTATTTGAAATCCAGCCCTTTTTTAGTCATTCCGTTAAATTTTGGCTGATATGACAGGTTAACTAACGGAAAAATTTATTTTTTTCTTTATTTTAATTACATGGAAAATTCACCTAGTACAACTTGATGACATGGCCAATTTTTTTGCCTAATTTAACCTCGAAAATCATTTAATTACGTAATTATCATTACAAATATTTTAAAGATTATTCTATAATTAAAAATACTTAACTTTAATTACTTATTTACCCCCATCTTCTTCCCATTTTTGTCTTATCCTTTCTTGCCCCATCTTTTTTCCCCATTCTGTCTTATGCTGCTAGGTTCATCGCGAACCTGGATTTATTACGATGGTCCAATTCTTTGAATGATCAAATCAATAGTCAAAATTCAAATACGAAATCAAAATATTTCATACTTAGAATCAGTAGATGCAAGCTAAAATCTAATATAAAAAGCAAGATACATAACAAAAGCGATCTGAATCTCCAACTGCAATACTCAAAATCGTTCTTAAGAATGATCTAATCATCAGATGAAATTCAAAAGCTAAATCTACATCATTCATGTTTAGAGACAGTGAAAACGAAAAATGGAATATGAAATACAAAGTCCTAGCATTCAAACAGAATTAGTAGATGAAACCAGGAGTTGGGCTCATTGCAAACCCAGTCTAGATCATAGGTTTGTTTTGCGAACCCAGGTGCTGGGTTCGTGTCATTAACCCACATGAACCTAGGCATTGGGTTTGCATCACGACCCCACGCAAACCTAGGCATTAGGTTCGCGTCACAAACCCACGGGAACCCAGGCGTTGGGTTCGCGTATGAACCCACGCAAACCCAAGCGCTAGGTTCGTGACACGCGAACTCAGGCACTGAGTTCATGACGCGAACCCAGGCGTTGGGTTTCCTATCACTAACTCAGGCAAACCCAATGCTAGGTTCGCAAAGATCTAGTGAGATCTGAAAGGTAAAAAAAAAAAACAAAAGGTTAGAGGAAGGAAGAAGATGGGGGCAAATAAGTAATTAAAAGTAAGTATTTTTAATTACAAAATAATCTTTAAAATATTTATAATGGTAATTATGTAATTAAATGATTTGTAAGGTTAAATTAGACAAAAAAATTTGGCCATGTCATCAAGTTGTATCAAGTAGATTTTTCACATAATTAAAATAAAGAAAAAATTAAGTTTTCCCATTAGTTAACCCGCCACATCAGTCAAAATTTAACGGAGGGACTAAAAAAGGACCGGATTTCAAACATTAAGGATTAAAAAGGGGATTTTTTCGGTACAGGGACTAAAAATGGACTTTTTCCTATAGTAAAAGGACCAAAAAGGGTATTTAACCAAACATTATCTATCAGTCATTTTCTATTAACAATCATATATATATGAAGATAGTGTACATTAGTCTTAACTCTAAAAAAAATTAGAGTCCTAACTTTAAATGACATTCATTTCATCTAATTAAAACTCAATTTAAAATTAAAAAAATATACCCTATTAAATGTGGATATCCGTATTTGGAAACTGATTATATTTTCACTTTATAGATATATATGTATATATGTATTGTATGTATGATTAGAATATCTTTGGATTAGTTGTGTATAATGAGACTAATTCTTCTTTGAGCGATTTTAAGAGCGCATCTTCCACATCAATCTGGTATGGCCTTAAGACTTAAGTACTAAATCTGACCTATATAACAATTATTTATAAGTGGATTTAACATTTGGGTTGACTATTATACCTTTCACCTAGCATTTTGTCTTATAATTCTTCCAACAAATTCAACTCTATACAATTACCCTTGATACTTTTAGCTCCAATTAGTGTAATTTTTTATTTTATTTTAAATTATTGTTTTTAAACTCAAGTTGGAGGTCAACTAGTTTTGACCTCTAGTTTTAGTTTGATTAATTAGATTAGTTAAATTATATAGTTTAACTAGGTGATGTTATATATAAATTTTATATAAATTATATGTAATAAATAAAACATTTTGCAAGGCAAGTATAGCAACACTAAGTAGCTAGGCGGTAAAAGCACTCTTAATGTTTGATGGTTCATTCGAGACATTTTGGTGTGAATTGTATACATTTATCATTTAAATTATAAAAAGTGCTTGTTTGGTGCAGCTTGTGAGGACTTATTGGATTTAAAAGCACAAGCTACACCAAATACTTTATCTTTTGAAAATTGCTTGAGTTGGTGAGAACCTGGTCTTACCACTTGTTTATTGAAAATTGGAGAAGCATGGATTTCATGCTTTTACGAGAGCTTTTGCTCTGGTTTAATGAAATTTATGCACTATTCCTATTTTATCTTTATATTTTAATGAATTTACAAATAAACTATTATATATAAAGAATGAATTATAATACCAACCCAAAACCCCTAATTTTCAACTTGATTCCTTTGTCTTCTTTGTCAACCAATTCCCACAACTTAAAAGCTCAAATCCACCAAAAGAATCCATCACAATGTTGTTTTATTTATCAAAAACAAAACTTTTTTGATATCCTCATTCCATATCAACAAGTTGCGTAGCCTTCATTTTTAACGTAACCTTCATCTTTATTCCAAAGCTTCCCTTAATCAAGAATGCCTTTTACTCCTCTAGCCATAGATTTGGACATTGGGCAATTCAAGAAGTTCACTTACTGGTCTACTTGTTCTAGATCAACAAAGCCACACCTTCAACATAAACTCTCATTACTTTTCTTTCTTTTCTTTTTAACTTCTAAAAAACATAGATTTCACTTCAATATTGTTAATTTGTTAGATTTTGGCTTGGTTAAATATAAAATTTGATATAGTTAAGACATAAGGATTAGTGAATTTGTTGCTTTGCTTCTATTACAAGGTAGAGTTCATCCACATCAGCCTTAGCATCATTTGATCTCACCTCATGTGTCATATTATTTTTGCTATTTTTTGTAGATGAGTTTCATCATCTCTAATTCCATTACTCAATAACTTTATTATAACATTTATGGTGCATAATCCATTATATAACTTATTTTAGGCCTTTTTAGTGACACAATTTAGATTCTTTTATTTTTTTCTTTACTTTAAAAATAGTCATCTTTGATTTGTGACAATTTATATTTCTCTATTACAATCAAACATCAATTGTCTAGCTTGTTTTATTGTCTTTATTGTAATGAATATTTATATATTAGAAAGGAAAGCTCAAATATAGTGTAAATGTTTTATTAGTATTATTTTTTATTACCCATATGGTCATAATTAGCTAGTATTGTAAGTCAGGTTGAAATATGCTATTTAGGCTTCTTGCATAACATAATAGAGAAATTATAAACTTAAAAATTGAAATTATAGCAAAATTCAAAGCTACTATTAGCTTACCAAATTGAATTTGAAAGATAGGTTGAAACATATCATTTTTGCTTAATTGATGAAAAGACATAATGAATTTAAAAAATATAGAATGTGTGGGATGGATGGTCCACTTTAGTTAAATATATTTGAATTATTGAAATAAATATTTTCAATGATAGTTTTATATTGAATCATAGTATTTATCAAATAAAAAAGTTAACGTATCATGTGTTGCCCTTCATGCTAGAGGACTTGGTCAAAAGTTTGATGCAAACTGAGTAATTAAATAAATATAGATTTAAATTATTGAGTGTTACTAATTCCTGCATTGCGCTTATTTGGTGTAGTTTGAATTCAATTAAAATATTGATTCCATACTTCCATTAAATCTAACCTTTGTGTCTGTTTTTGTAAATCTTATTTTAAGGACAAAATTGTTTTGATATACAATATAGTAAAAAAAGGGACAAAGGCATAGTGAGATTCAATAACAATCAAAATTTTCTATGAGATATGTGTAGAAGAGGTCATGGTTGGTAATCATCGCAATAATACTTTTAATGAAATAGGGTGGTGAAATGTGGAAGAAAAATTAAATAGGAGCAAAAAAGAAATATGGTTATAAACAACTAAGAAATATGTTTATAAACAACTAAAAAATATGTTATAAACAACTAAAAAATAGGTGGAATGTATTAAAAAGTGATGGCATCTTATGAAATCAACCTTTAAGACAAGAAATAGCATTAGGGTGGAATTATGAAAAATGTACAATTGATGTCACTTTTCAGCAATGGGTTGCATTGAAAGTGCTTAGTACTAATCCTTTATTGTTAATAATTTTAAGTTTTTGAATGTTACTATATTAATTTTAACTTTAAACTCCTACTATGTTATATATATTATAGGAGAATAAAAAATATGCTAAGTATGAGCATAATGGATTAGAAAAACATGAGAGTTAGAGATAATGTTTGCTCAAATAGTTGCCACTGATGAAACTGCATATAGTCCAACTGTTGGTCTTATTCTTCTACAACAATATGCTGTGGGGGTTGAAGATCCAATGAATTAAAAGAAAAAAAGCAGCAATTTGAAGAAGGGAACAACAAGGCCAAAAAAAATGAAAAAAAGAAAGAAAAAAAAAGAAGAAAAACACAATTGATTGTTCAATTACAAGTAAAGGAAAGAAAGCCAAGTTAGGGGGTGTAGCATACATGCAAAGACAATTGAATCGTCTCTGTGATGTAATTGAAAGTTATACTTTTACTAGTTTAAATGATTGATCAGAGAAGAACTATGAAGCACTTACTAATAGCATTAATGAATATATAACTGTTAACTTTGCCTGAAGTTGAAGATGGTAGTGAGCTTTTTATGTTAAACACTCGTTTGTTCATGAAACAAAAATATAAAGAGACGTTTAGGAGCATCAAATCAATCAACTCTAGACTTTCTTGGCTAAAGCAAGAGTTGGAAAGGGCAATGTTCAAGTTAGAGTTAGAATGGAAGAAACTCAATAGTACAAGGTACTAATACAATACCAGATCTTGAGTATTTAGTATTAAGACATTTGTAATAATTGCATTTGAGATATACAACTATTTTTTTTTTTTTAGTATGTGGACCAATGTTATGAACTTATGTTTTTTCATAATATTGTTTAGAAATTTTACGGTGATTTTGAAGCCAAATTAGGTTTTCATATTAAGCCAAATTATTTTCAAGTTGGCACTCATCTTGGAAGACCTAATTTTTTTTTATTAATTTTTAAAAGTTAATAAAAAGTTAAAATAATATGATTCATAAAGTTAAAAAATTAATGTTGGCCACATCATCTAATAGAAAAAGGGTAATAAGCCATAATTTCAAAGTTCAAAGTGCAAATTTTTTATAAAAATAAATTTAGAGTTAAATCATTCACAATCAAAGATGATCAAGCGTTGATAATCCATTTTCACATTTAAATATTGAAAGTATGAGGGACATGGTTGGTGCAAGCATCAAGATTCAAGAGATATAAGGCAAGTCTTATCTCACTATACAAGTCCAATCTCAACTTATAAAAAGGATGAAAATATTCATTTCAAGACAAGTTTTATGTTAATTTATAAAAAGATGTGAAAATATACATCTCAAATACGATCTCTTTTCTTGTATGAAAAAGATGAAAATCAAGTCTTATTTAAAGAGGTCTTTCATCTGATATGAAAATAAGGAAAGTTAGAAATCTTTAAAAAGTTTTCTTTTCATGTATGAAAAGTAATGAAATAAGGCATCTAAAAAATCAATAGATTCCTCTACCTTTAGAAAAGATTGATCAATCAAATGGAAAAAAAAAATAAAAAAATAAAAAAAAAACACGAGCATCTTTCATTCAAACCACAACTTTGAACACTTATTAACTAACCACCTATTTACGTCAGAAGACCCTCATTCACTTATTATGTAGTTATGTTTTTGTTAAGAATAGTTATTATTCTTCACTTAAATTATAATTCACTTTACCTTGTTTTCAACTCTAAGAGTTCAATTTATGTCATTCTCTCAAGTTCATTTATTGATCAAGTTACGAGAAAGATAAAAATGTATTTTATTTTATTTTTTTATGGATTAAATTTTGTTCTAAAAATAATTATATTTGTTTTTTGTGCTTATCTTTTCCCCTAGCATTTTCTTTTTCTTGGTAGATGGATTTAGATCTAAGGTGATATTCTAAAACTAGTGGTAAGTGTGAGGTAAAGAAGAAAATAGCAATGAGGATGAGAAGAATATAGCAATGAGGATGAGATGGAGAAAGAAACTATGGAACAAAGAGAAAGGAAAGTGGCAATTAGATGAAAGAGGGATAATGTCTTTTATTGTCTTTTTTTCATTGAGTAGTTCAATATCCTCAAGATATATTTCGAAATACCTTAACAAACAAAAAACAGGAATTTCAAGACTTTCAAGTTAACAATGGGTGCAAGAGACATTGGCAACTCCAGGTGAAAGTTATAGAATATTTAGAATGGAATCACATGTTTTTAGGGAATTATGTTCTTTGTTAGTTAGCAATTATGACCTAGCATCAACAAGAGAAATGTGTATAGAAGAATCATTTGCAATGTTTTTTTGGATATGTGCACATAACCAATATAATCAAAATGTAACAAATCATTTTAAATATTCAAGAGAAACAATAAGTAGAGAATTTGTTAAGATTCTTGATACAATGACAATGTTTTCAAATGACATTGTGAAATCACTTACTTATAATTTTACCAAAACTCTCAATAAAATTTGACAAGACAATAGATTTTGGTCTCATTTTAAAGGATGTATTGGTGCAATTGATGGTACACATGTTAAAGCCATGATCCTTGTTGAATACCAAGTACCATTTAAAGGTCGCAAAGGCATCACTAGTCAAAATGTGATGGTGGTTTGCAATTTCGACATGATATGTACATTTATAGTTACAAGATAACCTGGATCTACTCATGATGCACATGTTTTCACCCACACATGGAAAAAGCATAAGGATGTGTTCTCCCATCTTCCTGATGGTAATAATTTTCTATTTATTTTGTATTATAGTTTTTTAACATAATTTTTAATGAAGTTTTAAGTACATTTTCATTGTTTATTATCAATGACTTTTCTCTTATATTTTAAGCAAATATTATTTTGTTGATGCTAATTATCATAATACAAAATGATATTTGGCATCTTATAAAGGATAAAGGTATCAAATTCATGATTTTAGACATGAAAGCTAATCAATCAATTATCAAGAAGTATTAAACCATACTCATGCTCTGTCTTAGAAACATCATTGAACGATCTATTCGGTGTTGGAAAAATAGGTTTGAAATATTGTCAAACATGCAAAATTATTTATTCACAACATAAAGAAAGATATGAGCTACAACTATTGCACTTCATAATTATATTAGGCAATATGCAATTAACAATAAAGAATTTGATAAGTGTGATCATGACCCAAATTATATGACTGCAAAATTATGTATTCACAACACAAAGAAAGATAATAGTTGCAACTAGTGCACTTTATAATTATAATAGGCAACATGCAATTAAGGATAAAGAATTTGATAGATATGATCATGACCCAAATTATATGCTTGAAGTGCCAAGGGTAGAGAGTATGAATAAAGGAATTTCTCAAAATAATGTTGTTTGTACAATGGAGGATTATGGCATGATTGAACTTCAAGATTTCATAGCTCTCTCCTTAATGAAAAGTTAATTAAGATGATTATTTGGCATAAGTTTTAATTTTATTGTCTTATTTATATGACTTAAATGTAGTATCTTTTATTTTTTTTAATATTAAAATGTAAGCATTTATGTTTTAAAATATGGAAAATTAATTTTTAATCATTAAGCTTAAAATAATTAAAAAATTAAAGTTCTATAAAAATAGAAAATAAAAAATGGAGTGAGAATAGTGCTTCAATAAGTAAAAGATGTCTACTTTAGTCATTTTAGTGTTATATTAGATTAAAAGATCCTTTATAAAAATTTACCAAATAACTTATTACTCTGAAAGCACTTTCATAAAAAGTTTTACTAAACATCTTCAACTTCTCAAAAACAGAACTTTTACAACAGATTCTTTCTAAGATGATTTTTATTAAAAGTTTTAGTCAAACCAAATAGGCTCTAAATATAATTTTTACACAAACCATGTCATTACCCATACAGACCAATTAGCAAAACACTTAAATGTGGAAATTGAGAGTAAGGATTTGAAACCTTGCAACATCTCACTTCCTCTTATTCTTAAAAAAAGAAAAAAAAGAAAAAAAAAAGGTTAAAACCCCATTTTGGTCCTTGAACTATTGTACGGACCCTTGATTTGGTTCTTGAACTAAAAAAAATCCTTTATTTAGTCTCTACTGTTTACCAATTTTACCCTAACTTGGTCATTTCGTTAAAAAACCAATGATGTGTCTCGTTAACTAATGGGAAATAATGACATGTCAAAATATTATGACATATCAGCTATACACATAAAAAAAGATAATGTGTCATTAAAACATGTCA